CTCTGCACCAGCAGCTGGAATGCATGGGAAAAGAGGGAAACCAGGCTCAAATAGTTTTTTGGCTATCTGCCTCATGTTTTGTAAGGTGCTTGTCACCCAGCCAATCAGCATCAAGTTTAAGGTTTTCAAGCCAAGCAATCATTTTGAAATATAAAATGATGCTACACACAAGTCACACAAACCCTCCATTACCGATCCATTTAGAACATTGTGCTGCTTTTTTGTTAGTTTGTTTTTTAAACAGTGTTTTCTGACCTTCCAGACGGCCATTTGCATCCATTAAGGTCTGGTTAAATTTCTTTTTAGTTATCAGGCCATTCAAATTGGCTGGTGATACTCAATGATTATAATCATTAACTGTGCATTTATTTGTGCAGAAGTAACATTGTCATCACTTAGAGCTGCATTAGCATGCAATGATAACAAAGAAATACATGATTGATTGATTTTCATATCTAAAAGACTTGTGGAAAATAGTTGTATTGAATGCTGTAAATCATTTGAAATGGTCTGCCTGCTTAGTGAAAATACACTGTAGCTTCGAAGCTAAGACCTGAAAAATAAAACAAATAAAAAATCCAAGACTGATTTTTGCATTTTGTTTAACTTGTAGTCTGCCCAGATATTGTTATGCGACATCTTATGCATATACAGGAGGTAACATAGTCATACTAAACCAGAGTTCACATCTTCAGCTTTGCTTACACACTGTCCACCTAAGCACTCGTATACCTGACTGTCCCTGTTTAAGAACCATGCTCGCTCAATATATAGACACTGTTAACCTTTTTTCACTTCACTGTTTAATGCATATTAAGACAAATGAGCTAACTGATGATAACAGTCATAACAATCTGTCAGGAAACGCAGCATGAAAGGTCACAGCAAGAAAATGTGTTTATTATCATGACAAGATATGCTATCAGCCATGAACTTATATGAATTGATGTGTTTGGTTTTCTTTGGCGTTCGCTCCACATGGCTGTTCACTGCTGGACAATGTGTGCTTTTAATTACATATGACAGAATGCAAACAATAACTAATATAATTATATATTTTTTTATCATTGTATGTAGCTGACAGGTCTGCATATCTGGTGTCTCACAGTTTGGAAATATGCTGCATTATTCATCACATCCATATGGAACATATTGACATCTGGCACGAAACATTTCCATCATTGTGAACTAACTGCTCCTTGGGCATCATGGGAAAATCCATCCACAGTATGAAATGTATACAGATGCCCCCCTCCCTGCCTCTCATCAATCTAAAGTGTTCAAACAGCAGAGGAGGCATTTTGACCCACAGCCATAAATAAACCAGCACACATTAAGTTATGACTTGCAGCACTCCTTCTGCAGTTATAAGAGAGACAATTAGAGTAAAGTGATGTAAAAGAGATCTAATGCCCTGTGTAGTATGTTCTTAGCTTTAAACCCCCTGGAAATAGAGTGTGTCTGAAGTGCTCACAGTACTCCAGTGTATTTGTCATGAACTGTATCTGTTTGAATGATCGGTAAAAAAAAATGTGGGACTTTAAAGATATTTAACTTGACTCCATGTGGGTGTTGTGTGTCCTTCTGCACCCTGGTCTGACAGGCTTGCTGTACTGCTGCAGACAAAATAGTCACTCACTTGTTATTGAAACCTATTACTGCTGAAATCTCCTCTGTTTAGCAAATATGTCTACAGGCTTCCCTCTCAAATACACCTCCAACATCTTGATGTCTTGTCTCTCACACCGGTCAGTCATGACATTTGCAAAAGATTTACAATTTGCATCCTGTCTGTCAGTGTGTGATTTCTAAGCTGATTATGAGGTGCACCTTGCACATCTCTTAAAGAAACATCTGCAAATCTGCTCATGTTAGCTTTTTATGATCTAGCTTCACTGTCACCAAGGGACATCTTTCATTCATTGTGTCTAAAGCTGTGAGTTACTGTTAAAAAATATTGATAGAAATGTATTCAAATCAGCCATCTTTATGAGAGGTTTTGCTATTTTTAACCTTTGGTGCAGATTGAAGTTTTTCATATAAAAGTTTTTTTTATAAATATTATGCTAACTTTTGCCTTTAAGCATCCAGATGGTAAAAAGCAACTTTAGCATTTACCTGGTTATGTCTGTCAGTTCAGACAACAAATGGTAGTTCATAAATCATAAAGCTTTATTTGTATGTTCACTAACTGTTTAAGGAAAATAGTTGCATCTTTAGTTGCTTCATGTTCCACAATGTTCAACTTGTTAACTTTGTCTGTCTGCTGAAAGATTCTGGACATGCAGTGTACAGTCACTTTAGATGACTGTACAGCGCAGGAGGGAGTGAAATTCTAATGGAAATGTGTCACCTTTTTGCTCTACTTTAGGACTGATATGGTCTTCCTTGTGCTCCTCTTTTAGTGTGTGAAGGAAATTTGTTGATCCTAAAATAGTGAAGATGAGCTGTCCTGACAGGAATTTCCTTTTACACTTTCGCCCTGTTGATTGTATGGGTTGGGGGGGGGGGGGCTGTGTATGTTGCTCTTATACAGCCCACTGTTTGGCTCTACAGCATTTCAGGTGTGAGAAAGAGTGGACAAAGCTGTGTTGTGTTGCATACTGGAGCTGATGGACTAAAGCCGGTTGACAGGTTCACATCTGAGCTCAGACAATAAGTTGGGGAAGCTTCGCTCCTCCTGTGGGAGCGAGTGAAAGAGGAGGGAAGGAATGACCTGCTGGGCGTCCATCTGGGAATGATTCATGACGTGCCACCACTTCCCACCTCAGCCCCTTCACATGTTTTCTTTCAGCATGGCCTTGTTAGCTGTCCTTGTTCACATTTATGAAAGTGTTAGTTTTGTGTGTTTTTAAGTGGCATATGAACTTTTATATACCAGCAAAGACAGGAACACATGTTGCCAGACAGGAACAAGGAGACATTTCCTTCAATATTGGTGTGAAAATACAAAGAGTCGAAAACATTGTCATGCTTGCACACTAATATTGATAAGAAAATCCTTTTCATGCTACACTTTTCTTGAAGGTTACACAATTAATAACTTAAAACCGATAGCAATGTAATAAACTACATGGCTTTTGGAAGGAGATTTGTGATGCAATATCCAAAATTAATTGAGTTGCTTTCCCAATGGATCCCAAGTTATGCCTTCTGGGTGACTTTTCCAATTCTAACCTTACACACAGTTATTCCATCAAACTTACAGAAATATTGCTGACTAATGCCAAAAAGTGTATAGCACTCAAATGGAAGCTGGATTGCCTGTTTCCAGTTGGATTGTGGTTCTCGGAAGTGTCTAATTGAATACCTCTGGAAAAAATAACTTATTCGCTAAGGAATAGGATAAATGTTTTCTATAAAATATGGCAACCTTTTTATCAACAACATGGAAAATCTTGCCACCCCACATGATTGAATGATCAGCTGCATGGCCTCTCTGCCCCCACCAGTATTGTTTCAAAAGATCACTCTATGATGGTTAAATCTAACCTATCTCTCAACTATTTTTTAATTTACTTTATTTTATTGTCTGTTCATTTATTTTTGAGATGTTGGTAATGTACAATGAGCGTCTCTGTATTGTCAATGTTTGTCTGTGTGGTTTGTATAATATCTGAAAATCCCTCCCCCCAAAAACAAAAAAAACAATAGCTCATCCATTCTCCATTATGTGTATGAACGAGGTGCCTACATGCCTCAGTACAATTCAACAGCCTACAGAATATCTCAAAGCAGAGGACAGCCTTCAGTTCAAAATGTAGACAAGATACATGAAGTAAACCACATTCCTTTACAGATCATACAACAGCGGCTTGATTATTAGTTTCATTTGGGTTCCCATGTTGGCATACTGTAGATGATAAGGAGGACACCAATGTACAACCATTCAATCATTAAAGGAGGTCTAAACTTTCTTTTACCCTGTTTTTTAAGTTCCTGCACCAAGTGCATTTGCTAAAGACCAACCACTCAACGGTCAAAGATATGTAAGAATTTCTGCCTGTTTTAGCACACTGATCATTCTCTTTTTATTTTGATCAGCCTTTACTGGAAACACAATTGACAAAATTTTACATGACAGTAAGAGTTGCTCTATTGTTCTTACCTGGGCAGCAGGATGCTTTGGAGGTTTGTGTACAAGAATCGAAGCTGTTCTGAGCTTCAGGTTTGATTGTTAGCATGACTGAGTGTTGAAGATACGTGAGACAGAGATTTAGAAATGTGCATCTGCTGCTCTGTTGTACATACTGTACATACTCTGTACTACTCTGTAAGTACTCTATTTGCAGAAGATGGAATATTGGTCAAATATATAAAAAGTGTTACTTGTGGGCTCTCAGGTGTTTGTCCTTGTCCCTTGTTTGTTCTTTCCCTGCCGGTAAAGTGCCAACATAGAGTGCATTTAATATACTGCACACGTATCACAATCATTTTCAAACACAGTGTCGGATGTGAAAAAGGGTCATTGTTGTTTTTCATAAATGCATGCAGCAATGCACCTTCATAAGCCCTCTCACTTTGTGCTGCTGCTGCTGTGTGTTTTCATCTCTAATGATTTCCAGGTGGAGTATAAGTCATTGTGGCACTTCTATACATGATAGACTGTAGGTGTGGAGTCTAACTAAGCACTAAAAGCACTCTGAGGGGGCTCTGGGACAGTAATGACATTCTGGACCGGCTATATTAAGCAGGCGCAAGTCACAGGAGCAAATACATTAGTAATAAATCAAGGGGAAATTATCTTTGTAGCCGAGCTTGGAGCTCCGAGCAGCGTCCGTGTTTGTCAGCATCAGGGAGCGAGTTTTGTATCCACAGATTGCCTTCCAGCTTGTAAATGTAATGAACAATGTGCTATCTGAGCTGCTGTCGTGTCACATTTCAGATTTTTGATGTGTTGCAGAGGTTCGACAGCCGACCAGCAGCTCTGTCAAATCCACTCGTTCCTGAGCAACCTGTGTAACATGAATCTAATACAGATGCTGTGCTCGCTCCCTCAGGTCTGGTGATTGGCTTTTCTATGACTCCACCTATCCTCGACAGCTCCAAAGACGACCTAGTGATTCCAGTCCACCAAACGCTCACTATTACATGCAGGTATGTGGGGGTGTTGCTCTAGTTTGGGAGTGTGTGTGTGTAGTTGTGTGTGATTTGCTGTGTGTTACTGTGTTATTAATGTTGTAAAAAATCCACAGTGGTAGGATGCCAAAACCAAATCCAGGCTTCTTATTTCATGATAATGACCCAAGGTGAAACGGGACTCCAATACATAACAGTTGTGGAGTGCATGTACTCAAGAACTTTTTACCAAGCACACATTTCAGAAACTTATATATATATATATGTATATATATGTATATAAAATATATAAAAATATATTTTTAAAATTATTTTCCAAAAGAGGTTTTAAAGTGTTTTTTCTTTCATATACGTAATTCTTAAGAGAGAGAGAGTAAATCAGTTTCATTTCAGTCAATTTCATCTTTACAATTAATGATTTTCTACTTTCAAGATCGATACATGTTATCCACAGGGGTTGACAATCAACCAGAGAAGTTACTTGCCCTGTAATTTTTTCAGTCATTTCATCATTACTGATGTTAATGTTAATATTAGAGTGATCAGTTTGTGATCACACTCAGCTGTTACTGCTAAAACTACAAATACTTTTACCATTATTACTGAGATTGTAGATATAAATCTATCTTTTTCATTGTTGTTGTTACTGCTTGACTCCATCATTCCCTTTCTTCCTGCATCTCCCTCTATCCTTCTTTCTGAGCCCAACACACTTTCTGCAGATGGCTGTTCAACATGAGTCTGCATCTGTTCCAGGTTTCTGCCTCTTAAAGGACGTTTCTCCTTACTGTCACTGTAACTGTCCAAACTGTCACTATGCTAAATGTTGCTTAGTGTTGTGCTGATGGTGGATTAATGTTGTTTTTTTAATAATATAAAAAGAGTAAGGTTTTTTTACCAGCTCCTTTTTAAGGTGTCTTAAGATAACATTTGTTATGAATTGAGGCTATACAAACAAAGATTAATTGGTCAATTCTAATCATCAGATGTAGACACTGTCTGTCTGTGTGGACATTTGTAGTCTATGGCGGCAGATGGTGAAAGCGGCTATGTATCAGTTTACAGATTTTTTTCACTCACACACATAATGCCTTTGGGTATAACATAACTGAGTCTATGTGATGGAGCAGGGAACTTAAAGGCTCAGAGGGATTTACAGTAACGCACACAAGCAATTTTGTGTTTCTTGGTGGTTTTTATATAAGAAACATCACCGTTCATATCACACTGATAGACATGCTTTTTAGAGTCTTTATGTGTTTTTTATATTTGTTTCAAACTGAAGTGAATAATACAGATACCAAAATGAATTTTAATAGAGTTTTTAAAAGACATACATTTTATTCAGTTTCCATATTTTATGTCTAAAAACTCCTCTTGTGAACATCGTCCAAGCCAGCACCTGACAACTGATCTAAAAGATTTTGAGCTATGTGAACATTTTCTTTATTTTCAAGAGGACATATTATACCCCTTATTAAACCTTTTCAAACAGTCCCCAGTGATCTAAATGAAACATCTGTGCTGTGCTTTGGTCAAAATATAACATGAATCAAACACCAGAGGAGGTTTGTGACCCTGTAGAAACCAACGTTCTCAGAACGCTCCGTTTTTGTGTGTGTGTCTCTTTAAATGCAAAGAGCACTCCCTGAGTTTTCCCGGTAGATATCACTCCTCTGTAGCGAAAAAAAAGAAATGGCGGACCTGTGGGGGAGGGGAGGATTTTTTGACCCGAATTCTACCTGTGACCTCACAAGTTTAGCAAATTTGAAACGTAGCACTTTTCTCTGTGTTTCAAGACTTATGCAGACTACAAACAAAGGACTGGGTGGGTTTATTTTACATTTTGTGGGTCTGTAGACACTCAGGTTACCCAAATATATGTTCAAAAACACTGTCAAAGTTGTTTTTTCATTATATGTCCCCTTGACCTTTGATCACTCATCCACTAACGTCTAAATCTGTCCCATGTCCTGTGAATGACGTCCCGCCCTTATAGAGGACAGCGCACTCTGGCCTGGGCCTGGCCTGATCAGACTCTGCTGGGAGAGGAGCTAACAGACCGCCAGGCCCAGCTCCCTGTCACCAGGGGCCCTGGGCTGAGGGTGGCCCTGATCAGCGAGTGTCCTGGGCAGCCTGGGAGGCCATACTGCAAGAGACTGATTCTGACCGCAGCACGGGCCAAAGACACGGGCTACTACCGCTGCTATTACAAGGATGTGAAGGCCGTCATCATCGGCACCACTGCCGTCAACATTTATGTCTTCGTCAGAGGTGAGTCATACTTCTACAAACCCTCCCTCCACACACACACACACACACACACACACACACACACACACACACACACACACACACACACACACAGACACCAATGCTGACACAAACTTACTCACACAGATGGGAAGTATTTAAATTACTTATTTACCCTGCTGGGTCGGCATGAAATATTCATTCTAAAGTTTTGGTTTAATCTTCCTCTTATTTCATTGGAAGGTAAAATGTCACAGTTTATAAACTCTGACATTAAAGTTGTCACTTTTGACAAAACATCTCTTTCTTGGCCATTTCTTTCTATTCTATGAGGGAATGTATTTCATAAAGCAGTGAGTCTGCAGTTCGTGGGGCGATTTTGCTGTCAGAACTTTCTCTGTGTTTGAAGTGAACATGTTTCATCTTCCGCCTCCCCGTCTGACCTGGTCTGCAGCTCTTTAGCTTTCGTTACTCTTTTGCTTGGGAAGTTCACAAGATAACCAAAGACATCTTACTGAAATAGATCCCCCAGTGTTCTCAGAGCTGGAGGTTGTTTCCTTTTCATCAGGAACACCCAGGAAGCTGGCGAGGTTAATGTTACGGAAATTTGTTTTGCAAAGTGTTTGATGAAGGAATGAGCAGCGCAGTCATTAATTAGAGAGAGGATATTTAATATTTGATTTCCACCCAAGAGTAGCACTAACTCTTCATCATTTCCCATAGTCAAGACTTTTTTTGAGTCAAATCTGATCAGAGTCAGAATAAGAGTTTGTTGCCAAGTAGGTTTACAAGTGCAAGGAATTTGTCCTGGTCTTTTGGTGAATTACAGTGAACACAGTCATAGAAAAAAGAGGAAACTACGTAACCTGCAGTGATCTTCTGTTGATGGAACTGAAACAGAATTAAATAAACTTATTATAAAATAAAAATACAGTAGAATATAGGGTTGGGAATCGCTGATGGGATAAGATGCAATAAAAAAAGACCATAAAAAGCTTTGACAAAAAGCCATTTTATGTTTTAGATAAACATAATTTACAAAATTTTCATAATTTTGTTCATTTTAAAAATGCATGTTTTATATATGAAATTTTGCACGGACTTGCTCCTCCTCCTTTGAAGGGCTTTATAAAGCTGAAGTCTGCCAGTGGGATCGGCACCAGGGCCACAGCCCGAGGAGACTGTGAGGTCCCACACAGACGCACTACATTCGGACAAACTGTTCTGTCAGTCAAAGGAACTAAACATTGGAATATTCTCCCGCTCACAATAAGAGACTCACAAACATATGCAACCTTCAAAACACACCTCAAACAGTGGATAAAAGAAAACCAAGTCTGTGACCACCTTTAACCTTTAACCTCTATCATTGTCTTGTGTCACTTGTGCCTTCGTATTTGTATTTGTATTTGTATTTGTATTTGTATTTTATTTGTAAATGTGTCTTTCTCTGTTACCTGCCTAGGGACAACAGATGGAAACTAGCACTTCTGCTATAATCTGGCATTTTTACAGCTGTAATTGTTACAGCTGTTCATTAATATGCACTGTCCCTAACAAATAAATAAATAAATAGAATCCACAATACATGGCCCATGGTAACAATAATCAAGACAATCGTATAATCATTGATCACGATGTCTGATGATCAAATGAACTACCTTCGACGGTGAACACAAGGATTACTGAAGTGGTGAAGCAGTAAGTCTAATTGGCTGGAAAATCTGTTTTTGGAGTGCCATATTTTGTCTTGATAATTGATTCAGACAAGTCAGGGTGATGATATATGTCGCATCGATACTTTGTCCCACCCCCAGTTAAAAATGTATAACAAATCAATTTGTTGTATTTAAAAAAGAAAGACCTGCATATTACAGTGGGTTTAGTTATGAATCTTTGTGTTCACACTTCACACCTACTGCTTCTTTTATTTTCCACTTTATGTTGAATACAAGGTCACCTCTCTAAATCTCCTCACCTTCTGTTTGGGAGAAAAGTACATGGAGGAAGAGATAGGAAGAGCGAGCAGCAGAGGTGGATGATTGTCATGTTGGGGAGCTGCTGACCAGTCCAATCATGTGAAACGCCTGTTTATCTGCTCTGACAAGGTGCCAAAACAGTTTCCACAGCTGTGAGCAGAGGGCTGACTGGAAGCAGATGACAACGCAGCAGTAAATTAGACGCAGTGTGAGGAGGGACAAGAGGGGATGCATGTGGATCTAGTTAGACAGGCGGACGTCACCCCTTTACCCTGCCCCTGCTGCGCAATATCATTTTAAAATGTGACCTTACAGTATGACCTGAATGCATGAATATACTGTATACATAAAGGATTGAACACACAAACATGCAGGCTCATGTAAAGTACACTCATACCAACGCTCGTACCCCTGATGCTTTGCTGTTGCCTTAGGGCAGGACTTCTCCTCTGACTAGACGTATTGCAGTCTAATACCTGCTGTGATTTATTGTGAAGAACTTAAAGTGCCCAGAGTTGTGTATTTTTTTTGTAACCTTTGTGTGTTTAGACCGCCGTGGGGCAGAAATATAAGCCTCTCGATAGAACCTATTGTTTGGCCTTGCAGCAGCGTGAAGTCATGGCTTTGAGTGCTGCAGAGAAAAAGTATGAAAATAATAGAGGGCTTATTAAGGAAAAAAAAGTAATAATAAAGCAGGCGAGCGGGTTGTAGTCACAGAATCTTTGGCTGCATACAAAAAGTGGCTGGTATTGACAGGAAAGCCTGAGAGATAAGCATTTTTACAACAGTGTGCGCTCATGCTGTGGTTATATGAGGTTTTGCAGTGATAACAACTGCTTTGACAATTAGTGGCACAATTGCTGTGATGTCTCCCAAAGTCCCTCTCAACAAGCTGTGAGACAATTCAAAGTGGAACATCAAGGTGGAGAAGAAGAAACGCAATAGAGCTATTTTCCACTAACAGACAGCTTGTGGTAAAATGCAGAAACTGGTCAGAGGAGGGATCAAACCCTTTTAAGCTGTCTGTCTCTCGGCTGACAGGTAATAACAGTGCTTAATGGTGTTGACTGCAAGGAGACAGAGGACAATGTTGCATTAAATGTAATTATTGTAAATCCAACATATGGTGTGTCTTTAGGGGTCATTATCAGGCTGTGACATAGTTGGCTGTTCATGATGTTACTATTTATAATAGCTACCATTATCACGGCTGGTGTTGGGGTCACAATTTAAAGCCAGTGGAAACCAAAATCCACAATCGGCGTATAGGTTCAGAGTTACAAGATGACATGACAGTGAGTGAACCATAAAATTTATGATCAGGTTCCATCAAGTTTTAAATATTTAAATTTTCTGTGACATTAGGCGCTTTCCAACCGCAGGAAATTTTTTTTAAAGTTCTAGGAACTGTTGGAACCCTTCCCCTTTTTTATTGATTGAACTATTGATATTAACTATTTTAGTTTCTAGAATCCTGTTTAGAGGAACATATTTAGCTCCTGATTCAGAGTTGATACCATGGTGGTGCGAATGAAGACAGAAAAAAGTCCCTATGGTGTGTAGTTCCCCGGGTAACTCCCTAGTGGATAGTTCCTCTTCAAAAAATTCCCAGAACTGTTTGGTCTGAAAACACCTATGAACTAAAATTGTGTTTGTATTGGGCATGATTATACTTCAATCAATTATGGTATTAACTCTACGATCCTATAGGAAAGTCACACAGTACCTATTTGTAGCAGGTAAAGAACCAATGGCCAACACCCTCAGTTGATGGCTGTGGGTGTTGACTGTAGATAAAAGATCTGGAGATCTGTATTCAGCTGATGAAGTTAAAACTACTGTGAGGTACTTTCGGTTTTGGTCTAAGTCGGGGACCGATCTCTTTGCTGAAATTGGCCTGTACTTTTTTTCCTAATGAAAGGAAACACACTCAGTGAAACCAACTATGCCCCTCTGCCCTACTGGTAAGTTACATAACCTACCATATGGTCCTTAGTTGCCACTGCAACCAAACAGAATTGCCTTCAACAGACTCAGGCTGTGTTGATGGGGTGCTCCAGGTAGTGACAATGCCGATACTACCTACCCTACCACATGGCCACTTCTGGCCCCCACAACGCAACTGTGTAGACTGATGGCAAAATCTTATCTGGATCCCGTTTTCTTTAAACAGCCATACGTATCATATCAGTCCTTGTGCATCTTCACCTTTTGAAATGTCTTTATTATTTATTCTTACTTTTGTTCTGTAATAACATTTTTAAAGTTTCTGTAAACTTTGCTGACATTTGGTTTGGATCTGTCAGGGGTTATGCAATGATATTCACTTAGTAATTACTACTGCAGATTAAAAAAGTGTCAATCCAACTATTTACTGTTTGAACCGGCACTGGTTTTCTCATGTGGCATTGTTGAGGGGAGCCAGGCAGATGGACCACACCCACATAGTCTTGATAAATAGTCTAAAGAGCAAAATGGGAAGACTTTTGACCAAGGTTTCACTTAGACTTCTGTGTATGCTTAATGAGAGTCTGAACGTTTATGTCATGTATGTAATTAACTATTTAAAGCTCAGTTTCCAGAAACTTTAAAAGGTCTTTGTTTCTATTTGCACATAGACCCCGAGCAGCCCTTCCTCAGGAGAGACAGCTACAGCCAGACCAACGGGAACAACCTGGAGACCATTTTAATCAAACGCTTCTCCAAACACGTCATTGTACCATGTCTGGTCACTGTGCCGGATCTGAACGTCACTCTTTACGCGGTTTGTACCCAATATCGAACCCGTTACATGATGCTTTGAAAGGTGACTGGATCTTGAGCAACAATATTTTTCTTATGTTTCTTTCTGTCAGTATCCCACGCCTCTGGAGAAGAGTGAGATGACATGGGACAACAAGCGGGGCTGGTCTGTCCCCAGACAAACCATCGACAATGTACCCATGGTCATCGGAGTTCTGTGTGTCGCCACACTGGGAGGCAAAGAGTTTCAGTCTGCCAACTACCTTATCCACACCACAGGTAAAATACATGTCTCTTGGTGCTTTCACTTGAGCTTCCGCAGTGGTGAGCTGCATGCGACGCAAACAGCTGAATTCTTAACTCAGACTTCACTGTGTATTTTTCCCCTGCAAACTCCCTGGTAGATATGTGTGTCTGAAGTCAGGGTATGGTGACGTCAGAACACAGCAGCGGATAAATAAAAAAAAAAATAATAAGCCGTATGCACACCACCGGTAGGATCTGTTAGCCAGTCTATTCCTCCACACTCTTTTGTTGATATTGTGTCGAACTACACACAACATTAATATAAAGTCAAAACTTTTCATCATAGCGTCATGTTGCAGACTCTATTGCTTCTTCCACCACTTCCATGTCGTTCTTTGAACGTCATGTCTTGTCTCCTGAGGAACCCACTGCTGTGAGATGAATGTGTGAACAACCAACTCAGGAAGGTTTCAGAGGAAGTCTAATGGACATTTTCAGGAGAGTTTATTCCAAAGGTTAAAAGATGGTTCAGACTAGAGCGGTCGTGATTCTTTAAGAAACTTAGGAAAAGAATAACTAATTATCATCAATGAACATTTCACTGAAGCCTCAATTAAAATTATAAAACTATAGTGTTTCTGAAGAGGAGACAGTTGAACTATAAGCTTTGGACATTCAGAGGAAGAGAGAGAAAGTAGGGAGGGAAAGAAAGAAGAAGAAGAAATAGAAGAAGGAAGCATCCAGTTGATTCATCTTGTGTATGCAGCAAACCTGCAGCAAGTCAAGGCACATGTCATCATCTAATGTACAGTATGAAGATGTTATAGATTACTGTAAAGATTGTTTTTCAGGTAAAGACCAATAAAGACTGTAAAGCCATTCAGCCACTAAATGTAACACTTGTTAAAGCTACAGAAAGCATGTTTTACACACACTGCTCAGCTTGCTTTTAAGAAAACTTGAACAAGCCTACTCGTCTCTCTTTTATCACTCTCCTCTGTCACTAAGCAGCAGCTTGCACTTGTTCGACAGCCAAGAGAATTTTGCTTTCAGGGTTTAATCATTATGTCTGCTGGTTTTAATGTCCCAATGCTGGCAAAGTTTGAACCCATGGTTTTCTATTTCTATGCTTGAAAACAACTATAGAAAAGGAGAGGCTCCATGAAATGCAGCAGTCGACTAGAGAAGGCCTGAGCTTTTTACACACACAGGCTCACACTTACTCGTACTTTCAGCCGATATTTACACCCAGTAATAAAAAGGATTGATGATTGTTTCAGTAAATCACAGACATATGGACAGCCTCATGCAGAAAACGTTGTTATATTTAATTAAGCAACCCTTATCTTGTCATTTTTCATATGCTTTTTAGACATTTAAAAGAGTATCTTATCTGATTTTTCAGTAAATTGTTGCAATAGAATTACATGCTGCAGCCCTTCTTCAGTGTCATTACTATTATAACCGGTTCAAACAAGTCCTGTTCAAAGCTCCAGTGGCTCTTGTTTAAAGTGAAAAAAGTGAGGAAATCAAAGTTGCGAGTAAAGACTACAGTGTCACTTTGATTCTGCATAGCTGTCGATGTGCCTATTACGCCTTAATGGTGACAGTTTGAAGGATTTTATTTCATTATGTATTTTCCTCTGGAACAACTCCCTCTATTGTGCGGGGACACGTGGCATTTTTATTGCAGAATTAAAAGGAAAGAAAGAAGAGAACGAGAGAATGCAAAGTTTAATTCAATTAAAGCTAACTTAGATGAAGAGACGAGATTTCATGTTGAGTTTGCATCTCGTTGCAAGTGAACTTTGTGGGACCCGGAGGCTCTTTGCTGTGTTGTGTGAGATCATTCACCTCGCACTTCAGAGGGCGAGAGGAAACTCATACCCACTGCTGCTGGCCAAGAGTAACAGCAGCATCAGTCAGAGGCGAAAACTGAGAGCGAGTCTTCACTCCTAAAGCTAATGGAGCGTTTAAACAATCAGACCATCACAGTCTGCTGCACAGACTTCTACAGCCTATGTGTTATTTAACACACTATGCAATTTCCAGCGACTGCCCAGAGAGGGGGATTGAATATCTAACACACTGGCAAGAGTCCAACACTTTCTGTGCTTTTTCTTTCTTATCTTAAATTGAGTCTTCCCTTTATTCCACCTTTATTTTTCTAACTGATTTATACCTTGACACATGAATGGAAACAGTGCAAACTTGTGACGGACACTTCTTTATAGTAGGATGGCTCCTCGTTTCCTTTGGTCCTGAAAGGAAGGAAAAACTGCTGACGATGTCACCGTGACCTCTCCCACTGTCCCTCTGTCCCTCCCTCCCACTGTTTCATTCTCCCGGACAGGAAGTGAGGTTTACGATGTCAAGCTGTTTCCTGAGGACCCTGTGGAGCTGATAGTTGGCGAGGCGCTCACCCTGAACTGCACAGCGTTGGTGGAGTTTAACACTGGAGTGGACATTAAGTGGTCTTATCCTGGCAAAAAGGTACAAAGCAGCAACAGTTGATTGCATTGTTGTGTTGAATCAAAAAAAGACAAAGCAGAAAAAGCTGAATAGTGTCCTCTCACCAGACAAACAGTCGAGTGGACATAAGGCCCTATCGTGAAGCTCTGTCCCACGCCACTGAGGCTGTTAGCATCCTGACGATCCACAGTGTCAACGTCACAGACACTGGCCCCTACAGCTGCAACGTCACCAGCATGGAAACAACACTGACCCAACAAACTCAGGTCATAGTTTATGGTAAGCATACTGTAGGCTCAGAGCAGATCCACATAGCTCGCTGGCCCCTTGTCTACATCAACATATCTGCCTGTTAGCTTAAGTATCACATTGACTGAGTATGTGTACTTCACTGTAATACAGAGAATCTAAATCCATGCTCAGTTGATCAGTTTTTATGAGACAGAATTTAGCAGCCCTTGAGCAAAATGCACAGTACCTACAACAACAGAAAAAGAAAGCCTCTCCTTGTAAAAAAATTACTGAAGGTACAGGAATGCGTAACATTGTGGTGTTAAGAATATTTCTAAAGTGGAGAAAAAAAAGCCTTAAAAGGACATATCCTACAAAGTCTATCAACTAGAGAGTACTGTGGGCCCCGAGAGCAGGTCTGGTTTCTATGATGACCCAGATTTACAGTAAGGAAACCATGTCCTAAACCACCCATTGAACCCATTAAACCACCCAACATAGATTTTTATAACTGAAGACACTTTATTCACATACATGCTGAGGAATGATTTTCATGTCTTCTGAAATATCAACAAGAGTTTTCTGATGATTTGGGTTGGCATTTCATTAAACCGTAACTTTTGTAAGCTGATTTACAGCTGCCCTCGACACCAAGAAGCCGTCTACTATACTTAACAATAGTGGATTCTTGTAAGATTTGTGGCATGGACTTCTTTTGTCTTTCAGACTCGAACCAATGATTAACTTGTGAATGTATCTTCTTCCAGACAAGCCGTTTATCAGCCTCAGTTACAGAAAGGGTCCAGTGGTGGAGGTAACTGCTGGCCAGAAGTCGTTCAAATTACAAGTGAATGTGTCTGCATTCCCCACACCTGAAACACAATGGTAAGATGAGACTCTGGTGCGTTCATTAAACTTCAGCTGGATGGTATTGTATTGCAGCAGTTGAAGTGTGTGCGTGTGTGTGTGTGTGTGTGTATTTATGTATGTTGTGTCCAGGTATAAAGATGGGAAGCTGATAAACCAGCGGCCAGAGTTCAAGATGAAGAGGATAAGGATGCACCTTAACCACGCTCTGGAGATTAAGGACGTTTGTCAGGAGGACTCCGGGCTCTACATGGTGGTGCTGAAGAACAGCGCCGCTTCGATTGAGAGGAAGCTCAACATCACTCTCGTCGTCAACGGTAACTAGTCTGTTTGTCTGTGTACCCTCAGTGGACCTGAGGCCAGATGTTTTGTGCATAGGAAAACAAATTAGAGGATGTGCAACAATTTACAGTCCTGCTACAAAACTCCAGAGGTTTGCTAAATATCCAAGTAGGTACAATAGAGAGTATAAACAACCACAGGATAAATATATTTTTAACAAAGACGTGTTGCATGGTTTAAAGTATTTACATATCATGTAATAATCCCTGCTGAAGTGGAACATGAATCTGCAGTCGCACCTAGGTGCATTTGATTGTTATGATTAATTCTGTAATTTGAGGTCGATTTATTCTCCACATTTTATTCTCCTCGGCTCTGCTCATGTTTTAGTTTTCTATCTTGGATAACGTCTCCAGAATTCCAGGAGAATCTGATTTTTTTCTCTGCAAACCTGTGCCAACTAGTCCAGGATGTTTCCTTTACTGCCAAATGAAAATATGCTGGGATATCTCTGTGACCTTGAATCTAATCAAGTGTCTCTCCTATTCCCCAGTCCCCCCTCAGATCCACGAGAAAGAAGTGGCAGATCCTTCCAGTCCTTACCCCAGCGGCAGCAGCCAGATTCTGACGTGCACTGCATATGGTCTCCCCGCTCCCACCGTCAGCTGGCAGTGGAGGGCCTGGGGTCCATGTGTCCTCAACAGCACACAGAGCAGACTGTAAGAAAAACATCTCTCCCAGATACAAACAGCCACACACTCAGATGTGATGTTGTTTTTTTTTTTTTTTTGTAAACCAGTGTGGGAGCAGTAAAGTGTTTTATCGAACAGGACAGATAGAGAAGAGGAGTGGGAAGCAGTGCATGAAGCGTTATGTGAGGACCAAAAAGGAGGAAGAGGTCAGTGTGAAATTATCCACTGGCTCTATGTCTAGAAAAAAGGGAGGAGACGGTGAAGAAAGAGATGTGGAGGTGGATAAAAGGGAAGGGATTAAGAGGAAGGTGTAGGAGAAGTAAGTAGAGGGAAGAGGAGACGAAAGGAAAGAGCGACTGTTCGATGACCGACCGGCTTCCTCCCCCATGCAGCGATAATGTTTCTGTTTCTCTGCAGCTGGTCTGCCAATCCTCAGCTCTCTCACAGCGCTCTCACTTTCTGACATTCATAGGCAAACACATAATGCACACACACACATACTCAGAAATGCACAGAAACCACCCTGGTGTGTTTGAATCCATCAGGGTGCTATATATCACATACACAGCTAAATGCCCGCATAAACACTGACACACACACTCATATATATTATGCAGCATCGCCCTGGGCTCTCCTCTCCTTCTCCGTCCCAGCAGAATCCCACAGCAAAATATAATGGATTCTCAGGGTGGCCATATAAACAGTTATTTTTCCTTTATAAGCTCCAGTGTTCAAGCCTCTTCTCCTGAATATTCTCATTACATCCACCTGCCTCCATCTTCCTCCAAGGTTTCATTCTGAAGTTATTGTTCTTCTCTTGACCTTTCCATGTGGGCAGATAACACTGAAACACACAAAGCATCATTCCAGCATGACATTATAGGTCGAAAAAAAATCAACAGTGGTAGTTCAGGTTCAACTTTGGCTTTAGCTGTCCGGTTCATGTTCTGTCTCCTGCACATCTCTTGTGACATTTCCCCGGCGCTGACTGAGGAATGGCTGTTGTGACCTTTTCTGCTCAATAAGAATTTTCGTTTTTAATAGGATGGTCAGACACAAAGTGAAGGAATAATAAATCTGTCTTGGGTCACAGACGCCATTTAGCTCAGTACCACAAAGAGCATTCAAAACACATTCAGGCTAAATGGTCTGACATTGAGTTAAAGCAAGATGAATATTTCTCACAGCCATAGAATTTTATTCTGGGAATTTTTTTTTCTTGCACCAGATGAGTTGGTCATAATTATTTTAATACCTATATGCTTTATATCGACTTACTACAGCTGGGCAACATCTACTTTTCTCTTGTATTGAAGTTTATATTGAACCTTTAAAAGTGAAGATTGTTCAACAGAATGTGATTTTAAAGTTGATTTTAAAGAGACCATACATTAACAAAGGAGTTGAGCTTTTAATGAAATATTCAATCCAAAAACATTCATTTCAAATGTGTTTGTTGAACTTTCACAGTTAAGGAAAGCTCTGTAAGGTTGCGTAAGTTGTGTCTTGTTTTAATGTACCAGCGAATGTAGAGGCTTTGTAGCCTTTACTCATTATTTTTAGAGACTATCTCTACTTTAGAGTCTATTTGGGGACATGAATTTGTTCACCACTTTTCACAGTAATCCATGGGACATTAGTTGAGATATTCAAGCCTGGACCTCAGTGATGGCCAAATAAAGAGCTCCATTACTACAACCACAGGGTTACCATGTGGCTGAAAAACGCAGTGTTTATTCAATATGTACCTTTATGTCATCCTACCCCAAATCGCCCATGAACGAGGACACAACACAGACGCCTCATTGGTAGCCACAGTCATGTTAGATGTGATGGTTTTGTTTCACACAAAGGGACAAAACTAAAAACTGTGTGTAAAAGAATATTGGCAATAGCATTTAATGGAAATAATAAATGCCCTTGATTTTTTCCCTGAGGAAATCAAAAACAGGTTGTTTCATCCATGTTTATGTATTGAATGTCAAATAGTTTAGAGTACAACTTCATTATATACCAAATAAAATGAAACTGACCCTGATTACCTTCCGCTAATGTTGAATTGTACCTTTAGGAGAAAAATGCAAAACAAAAATCCATTTCATGTTCATTAGTTCTGCTACAGTCTTCACACTATGGATCCTTACAAAAAGAAATTGATATTTTTTTCCATTAGTTGGCATGACACTAAGCATAATTGCCCCAGCTATTGGGTGCGCGCTGACGCTCAGATCTGAAATGCAAACTAGTCTGAGGAGACAAAAATCTCATAAAACCTCAGGATATCTGGTTTGATGTGTTTCTGGATTCTTCCCCGCCGCTCCCTCTCTGCCATGCATGTCAATGAGGAGAGATGTCACAAATGTGTCTGTGTTTGTCTCCAGAGTCCGACGAGACAGGAAGGGCCAGAGTGACGGGATCGCAGACTGTCAGAACTGGCAGGACATTAACTCAGGGAACGCCATGAATGAAATCGAGGCTATAGAAACATCCGTGGAAGTGGTGGATGGACGACAAAAGGTACATTACAGCTGTTTGATTATGTTTGGCATTCTAAGCAAAAAGCACACCTCCTCGTGAATAAGAAAATGATTGATATTATAATATGATGATTTGATTGCAATTTTCTTATTTAAAAAAAAGTCAGAATACGATTAAGCTGTAACCCAGAAAGAAGACATTTATGTAAGTGGACTTATCCATGAACTGCGATGTTTTTATGTAAGCGTCCCAAATTCTGAGCTCCATAACAAAATTTGTCAATCATGAGCCATTTCCACAGTAGAAATATTTAGAACTGCCTTCCTCTGCAGACTTCCTGTGAGGACGGGCTATAAACACATCCACACACACACACACACACACACACACACACACACACGTGCGCAGGGGGCACATGTGCACATTCACATGCTTGTACATTTATAAAGCGCAGCCGTAAGAGCAAATTATAACGTGCACACAGAAACGCTCAACTGCCCACATAAGGAAACATCCTGAGTGAGTTGTCCTCTTGTTGGCCTGTCAGTATAAAATCAGGTTTGTGTCAGCGCACATGAAAAACATGACAGGGCCCCCTGCTCTTTATTTTAAAATCTGCATGCTATCACAACGTTATTGAAGTCTCACCCCCCTTTTCTGACCTAACAGATAGTGAGCAGGCTTCAGATTCGAAACGCCAGTGTCTCCATCATGTACAAATGTTCTGCTGAAAACAAAGTTGGCAAAGACGAGCGACTGATCTACTTCTATGTAACCAGTAAGTATGTCCTGATAGTTAATCCTTGATTTGACAACAAGGATGACAAAACACAGGGAAATGAAAGAGTGTATGTCACCAAAGTCTCACGCAGTTTTTGTAGCAATGCAGACAATGTGCTGAGGGAGGGAGAAGGGAAGTGACGAAAAATTACATTTTAACTTATGGCCAGTGGGGAGTGACTGCACTGATTGCAAAAAGAAGTCTGATTGTATGGAACCAATCTTGAATATATTCTTGAAGCTGTTTTAATGCTTCATTAAACATTTTCCTAATGCGTTGATGTGATGGTCTTAATCACAAGTTTTCAAGTCTTCAACAATACAGCATATTGTTCATTAAATAAATGATGCTTCCATTTAGATTTCAATTGACAATAAATCAGGATGTGCTTTAGGCTGGATGATTTAAAAGACTGTAGCCATGGTGACCTGTCAACCAGGATAGAGATCTACCCATTTATATCCACCCTGTCATCCAAATACAATCACTTCAAGATTGCAGGAGCAAAAAGGCTTGAAAAGAGTATCTCACAAACCAGTGGTTGACTTCACGGTGGTGGCTTCATGCACTTCTTTTATACAATCTTTGTCTGCACTCTATTACAGTGGAGGGGAGCAGAATCGATGGTGCGTGCAGCATTGAAAAATTACATCGAAAAATTTCAAAAGCAACATTCCTTTCTACTTGAGAGCATAGACAGGCTATTGATCATTCCTTTCTACCTGAGAGCATAGACAGGCTATTGATCAGGCTTCTCAGGCAAAAGCTCAAGGCCACACAAGGTCACAAGGCTAAAACTTATTTCATTGAAAAAGTCAATGTTTCAACAAGAATGAATCCTGATCCTTTTAATAATTACGTGTCTGAGTAAGTAATTGTCTTTTAGTTTTTATTCAGTAAAGCTGAATAAACTACGTCTGCAATACGCTATATCAATATCAATCAATCATCGATTCAATCATCTTTTTTTGTATAGCCCCAATTCATAAGAAATGTCATCTTAGGACACTTGACAAACAGAGCAGGTTCTAGACCTTACTCTTCATTATTGTTATTAGCATAGCAATGCTTAACAACAATAGGAGTGAAAATACAGATTGTCTTTGATTATTTAAAAGAAGATGGTATCTTTTTTTAATCCCTCGAGGGGTAATTCAAGTTTACACTTTCATTGAGACATTCTGCACACACATGGGCTGAAATACACACGACACATGCTCAAACAGGGTCTAATCAGAGACTAATGGAGTGAGGGGCTGCACATGCACACGTGCTCAGGAAGGGAACTTGCACTTCTCCAGCTACCAGACCAATTTCCAAACTTGGTCCGCACTGGGACTTGAACTGGCGACCCTCCAATTTCCAACCTAAGTCCCTAAAGAATGAGCTACTGCTGCCCCAAGACATACTGCCCCCCATTATTAACGTTTAATGCCATAGTTCCTTTATGAAAAAGGATCAGTATGGTTTGGCAGTATTTTCAGCAGCCTTTTGTGTGAACATAATTATTATTTCCTCTGGTAGTTTTTACTTTTACTTGCTGGAGGCCCTGTTTGCTCATAAAATATATATGAAGAGGGAATAGCTCCAATCCAAATGAGAACTCCTCACACATGCCTTGTTTCTAGTTATCCAAAACCAAAATCAGAAAAAAATCCTCTGGACTGATGAAAGCACAGAACAGCAATTGCAGATTTTTGCTTGATTGGTATTTTCACCAAAGTCCTGTACTCCAGCTCTGTATGTTTATGTAATCTTACCGGCCCACCTGCCTTTCTTTGTATCTTCAAAGCCATCCCTGAGGGGTTCAGCCTGGATGTTCAACCTTCAGAGAATTCCCTGGAGCAGGAGAAAGTGTCTCTGTGCTGCAGCGCCGACAACTACACCTACGAGCAGCTTCAATTGTACCGCCTCGACCCCCGGGCCCTGCAGGACGAGCAGGGCAGTCCCCAGGAGCTGGACTGCAGGAGCGTGCACCTCTACGCGGACACCCTGGACGGCCAGCTCTCCTTCCAGGAGCCCTCTAACAGCTGGATCCTGGACTTCAACATCCAAGCTGTACAGCTACAGGATGAGGGTCATTATGTGTGCGAGGCTCAGAGCAGGCGTAGCGGGGAGAAACAGTGCCTGTTCAGATATATCTCTGTCAAAGGTGAGGGATAAAAGAGATGAAAGCTGCAGACACAGACATATACACACATCGCCTGGCGAAGTGGAGTCGCTTTAACTGAAGCTAATTATAGAGAAAAGCTCAACCCTTTGGCAGCAGAAACACACACAGGTCTCAATGGGCATGGAAGAGATGCTGGAGGCTTAAAAAATACACACACTAACAGAAAAGTGCCCACGCAGCCTGATACCCACATCGACACTTTACACTCAGAGTACCTGGTGTTTGCACAGCATCAGTATGTAGTGACAGAAAACAGAGCTGAGAGACTGCAGGGCTGAAATAATCTCACAAATCCATACTTCATTCATGTTGTGCGCTGTTACCGTGCACCTGTGCCTGCAGGATGGATGTACATTTTAATGGAATTTTTACTTTTGCTATCAGGCAATTCCAGAAGACCTTTCTGCGAAAATCATGTACATTTACAGCATTCAAAAATTCACAATAATGCAGACAATAACACTGACTTCTCTGTCTGTCTCCCACTCTCACTCTCTCTCTCTCTCTCTCTCTCTCTTTTTCTGAGTAGCCCTGGAGGCGCCCCGTTACAGCGCAGCCTCACCAATCAAACGGTGAATGTAACCGAGTCCCTGCGGATGGAGTGCGACGTGGAGGGCAGACCCCTGCCTCGCCTTTCTTGGTTCAAAGACAACCGGCCTCTCCACCAAATGTCAGGTGCGTGAACATCCCTACCCAGGAGATGCATATGTTTTCACAACAATGCAGCTGCCCATCCACCCACCCAGCAGCCACACAATCTGACACAAAGCAAGAGTTACTCATGACGTTTGCCACCTCTGTGTCTTTATTTGGCAGTACTCCTATCTTTAGATTTGTTTTCTGGTAAAACATAAGTTTCTGACAACCCCTCATAATCACTGCCACTTCTTCTGTCAAAGTAATCGCCATCACTACTTTCTTCTTTGTACTTAATTTGTCATATTACTACTATTTCTCCATGAGGTACTGTTTCTTTAAATTGGCTCTCATACACTTCATAGTCTATATTTCACATTTTGATCTGCTGTGTTTTATCATTTGTATTTTGGGTCATTTTCCTTCAGTATTATAGAAATTCTGTTTTATCTTATCTTCTCCAGCTAAATGTGTTAATTTTGGCTTCACATTGGAATAAAAACTGAAACAATAAGCTATGTGATTATTTAGTAATTTATTTTCTGTCCTTTGGCAGAAGTTGACATGGTACTAAAAGGGCACACAAGCACAACTACACAACCATCCATCAGCTCCACACACACTCACTGTTGAGCTGAACAAATGTGTCAAACACAAACAGTAACAGGAAGGCTTGAACGGGTGTAGCATATGTGCACACTTACCCACACCCACACATTGAACCCCGCGGCCGATAGACACGGCTCATTAGCTTTCTCAGCGGCTTCACTTTTTAACATCTGAAGGAGATGGAGGCGGGGGAGGAAGGGAGAGGAGGGATGGTCAATAGGGGTCTGAGTGACAGCTGTTGCTCTGGATTTACTCAGAGGGGCTTTTGGAACACATGGCTGCGGCCCTGGACGACAGGATTATAAATAAATATGATTGATTAGAACCTTGAAGTGTGACAAGAAATCAAGAGTATTATGAAATATGTTTCTGAAATTATGAACGGTAAATAAGTGTTCAGGTGTGGCATTGTGTCTGTGTGTCACTAATCACAAGTGTCCCCTTGCAGGGATCCAGCTTCAGGATTCAAACCGCACGCTGAGTATCCAGCGAGTCAGAGAAGAGGACGCGGGGCTTTACACCTGCACCGCCTGCAACCAGCGGGGTTGCGTCCACTCTTCGGCTGCCGTCAGGGTCATCGGTGAGACATACGCCCACACACACACACACACACACACACACACAGAAACAAGCTGTGATGCACCACCTGTATCCACTCATGGACTCTTGCAGCTGACGGGCTTTTTTTTCAAGTGCACTCAGGACTAAAATCACTGTCGCCCTTGAGCTCACATCTCTGCGCAGAAAACAGTTTGGTTTCAGTGGTTCATCTCTTTTCAATTTTCACTGCAGCTGTAGATGTTATGCTTTAGCTATGTTAACAGCTCTCCTAAGTGAAATCGAAGTCATTGACTGCTGGGATATTATGTATTCAGAATGAGTTATTTAACAAGTCTGCTGGAAGTGTGCTCATGATCAATGGCTGAATTGAGTAAATGGCTGTTGAGCACATTTATGTAAAGCAGAAGTTTTAATTAAAGGAGCTTGAATTAAAACCGGGACATATTGTTTGTAATACAGCACCCCCTACTGGAACAAGAGGATTATTTCATCAAAAAGAGACTGAATAAAGGAAAGCTTTCTGATTCTCAGCATTGCAAACTTCTCAACAAAATGTGATTTTCTTTTCCATGCACCTTTCTTTCTGTTAAGGTTCGAGTGACAAGGCCAACGTGGAGATTGTAATCCTCATCGGGACAGGAGTCATCGCTGTTTTCTTCTGGGCCCTGCTCATCCTAATCTTCTGCAATGTGAAGAGGGTCAGAGGGCACCACTTTCCTCTGTGTGTCTGTGTGTTTGTAGGAGAAACTGACAGGCTGTGACGAAGACACCTTAACCTCTGACTCCAAACATGTCTGTTGACAATTCAGCCATTTGATCTTTGAGAGTCTGTGGTTGCACACTGATTTCTGCTGGGAGTGGTCTATAGCGAGGCTCAAATCGCTTTGATTTCTCCTCACTAGGTCACACAATACATCACCTCGTATAGTTGCCGTGTAGTGACCCCAGAGTAAGATGATGGAATAACAAATTAATTAAAGACATGACATTAATTGCTCCCCTAAATGATACCACATCTTTGCCTTTTTCTGTTATGCCCATTTCTTCACTTGTACTCTAGTTTACAAACAAAAAATATTTAATTGAAAAAAAAAAACATCTGTAAATGGAGATCAGACATCACATGAACTCCTCTAGTCATGATAACTTTTTTAATCCAAGAGAAAAGAGTCTAAACCTAACTCAACTATCTAAAATTCATATAGAGCTCACATACAGCCCCTAAAAGATTATACAATCTGTTGCCCACTGTATATGTTAATATCATATGCAGTGCATAGTTAGTGTAGGAATTGATTATAACTATATCTAAAGAGCTCTTTCTTCCCCTTGATTGTAATACTCTGTAATACAAAAGACTGTAATAAGTTTGCATCAGCCATATGGGTACATGTGTGCAAACTCTCAATATTGTACAAAAAAAAAAATCATAAAACATACACAAACTAAGAACTCTTTGTTTTTAGTACTGCATCATAAACATCAGAACATCAGCCAGGTTTGAAACAGAAATAGTCAGTGACCATAAGATAGCACTATGTATGGAGATTTATACAGTTAGTAAATGGATAGACGTATGCAAGGTGCATCCAAAACTGGAAGGAATCAAATGTTATACTGAAAGAGCCAGCTCTGTAGAGGTCTGAACAAAAAGACTTTGATAGATAAGTCCAAGCAGAGGAAAACAAAGTTTATTTAAATTATCAAAAACATAAAGGGCTTTTTTAACCTCACACTTTGCCTGATTTAAATATATTTTTTATGTTTAATATAAAGTCATGAAACATATGTAATTATTCTTAGTATGGTCAAATGTCCTTTACACTTGTAAAATATCCCTTTGACTGAAGAGAAAACATCACATGGGCAAGAATAACATGTTGAATACACACTTCAGTAGTCGCTTGATGTTTCCTTTTTTTTTGTGTGTAACCTTTCCCTTATCCTTCTGGTATTTTTGTGCTGTGTTTCCAGAACCTCATTTACTATATTTCCACCATTCAGCCTGCCACCTCCTCCCCTTATGTTACCTCCTTCTTTTTCCTGAACCTCAGGTTAACCCCGCTGACATAAAGACAGGCTATCTGTCGATCATCATGGACCCTGGGGAGGTGCCTCTGGATGAGCAGTGTGAATATTTGCCCTACGACTCCTCGCAGTGGGAGATCTCCAGAGACAAACTCCGGCTGGGTGAGCATTTAGGAAAGATTGGGTGAAATGGTACGGATGGATGATGGGATAAATGAGCGAATGGGAGAGAGGGAGCGTGTGAGGAAATCTACAGGAGGGGACAAGAGCAAATAGATGGATGAAACTGAATTAGTTTTCCATTTTGCAGAATGCTTAATGGCATGAGTTTGGATTGCAGCCAGCTGGGCAGAGTGCTGCCAAGTGAAGAGCTAATGTTAAAAATTGTGTTCATTCACAGTACGGCTTTCTGAAAAAACGCCCCAGGGTAACGCATCTGTTCCACTACAGCAGCATAGGGGAACATGTTGTTTTCCAAATGCTGCAATTGAGATTCTAATACCTCCCCTCTTGTCTATAAGGAGGCCAGATGCATTTACATTTTGCCACCACAACTGTTTATGTATTCCAGTCAGACTAAAAACCCAATCGTCATAAACATGAATATTCTGTCTCTCTTCCTCCGATATAGGGAAGGTTTTAGGTCACGGGGCTTTTGGAAAAGTGATCGAGGCATCATTCTATGGCATCAGCAAGAGCAGCAGTTTGGACACAGTGGCCGTTAAGATGCTGAAAGGTAAGATCTGATGTCATGTGTGTGTAAACAGAGCTCGATTGTTGTGAAGAAGTCTCTAACAGGACACTGAGGCACAAACGTAAAATAGTTATTTATCAGAATTAAAAAAATATATATATATATTGTGAATTCTGGACAGTATATGTGTATTGTGATGTGCATTTCTGATACAAACTTAACAGTAAGCTTAATTTGATGCTTCATGTTCCACGTGTCGTGTGTTTCAGATGGAGCCACAGCCAGTGAGCATAAGGCCTTGATGTCAGAGCTAAAGATCCTGATTCACATCGGAAACCACCTGAATGTAGTGAACCTGTTAGGAGCCTGCACCAAACCTAATGGTGAGAAAATCATATTTAAATGTCATATATTCATAACATAGTGTTTGTAGATTAACAGTAACACATTACACTTCTTAAGGTCTATTTCAACACAGTCACATGACGTTAGTTAATGCAGATTTCTAATGTGCTTGTTGTAGGAACATATGAGATGTTTTTCATCCCCTGCAGCTTCAAGGCAGCATTTTAAAGAGCAGACCGATGTAAAACGTCCAACAGCTGCCTCTCTTTTTCTTCGACACCCATAATTTAACATCCATACATCACATCGACCTACAGAGCACATTTTTGGGGGACAAACATCTGACAGTGTTTATCCTCAACAAAAGCTAATTTATCCTTACTGCTACCCTCGGGCAGGAAATGTTTGAAGGCTGTCGTAGTTTTCAACATGCTGTTGAATAAATGAGCCCCAAAAAAATGCAGCATTTGTAGTTTCTTTTCCCCCTTACAAAGAACAGTTATGATACAAACAGAAAAACACATAAACAAAGGGGTCTGTATTTCCAGGTCCATTGATGGTGATAGTGGAGTACTGCAAGTATGGGAATCTGTCCAACTTTCTGCGAGCCAAGAGAGAGTTCTTCCTCCCATACAGGGTATCTACACCACTCAACTTAAACTGTTTGAATGTGATTATGTGGCTGCAGCTTAAACCCTATAAATAATCCTTTCCTCTTTTGTTCCCTCTGGCTGTATTTTCTTCCAACAATTGTTAAACCATGACACATTTGTTGTGTAATGCCTCGTTGATATGTATTTTGAATTGTTGTTCCACTTAGGACCGCTCTCCTAAAACACAGAGCCAGGTGAGACGGATGATTGAGGCGGGTCAAATAGACCAGAGAGCTCACCAACAACTTTCCCCCTCCGACTCCCGCCTCATCAATCCTCCGCCTCCATCATCAAACACGTCCATTCAGACTCCTGCTGTGGAGAAAAGTAAGCTTGTTTTAATTGAAGAAAGTTTTTTTTTTTTTTTTTTTTTTTTTTTTTTCTCATAACAACTCATTAACTTCTTTTCTTTCTATGAATCTCTGCAGTGGAGGACTTGTGGAAAACGCCTCTGACGATAGAAGATCTCATTTGCTACAGCTTCCAGGTGGCTCGTGGGATGGAGTTCTTGGCCTCCAGAAAGGTTAATTGTCTGCTTTACAACGATAATTACAAACTGAGCTGTGCTGAATTGTCACCAGAGGTTTGTTTTTCAGGGCTCTGTCAATTATTAATCATGTGACCATGAACCTGAGCTGTGCCATTAATGCACACTGTATACATATTTTAAGCAGGTATCCTTTTTTTTGAGAACTATCTTTATTATCATACTTACAGTCTTTTACCAACCAAAATAATAACACAACATATAACTGAGTTTACACTATTCAAGAGTGATCACATGAGACATTTATATTCCAATGCATAACACACGTTGTGGGCTGCACAGTGGTCCTGTGGTTAGCGCTGTTGCCTCTGAGCGAGGAGGTTCTTGGTTAGAATCCCTGTCGGACTGAGCTTCTCTGTGTGGAGTTTGCATGTTCTCCCTGTGCATGCGTGGGTTCTCTCCGGGTACTCTGGCTTCCTCCCACAGTCCAAAGACATGCTCGTTATCTTAATTTGTGACTCTAAATTGCCCGTAGGTGTGAATGTGAGTGTGGCTGGTTGTCTATCTCCATGACAGCTGGGATGGGCTCCAGCCCCCCCGGTGACCCCGAAAGTTATATAATGGATGGATGTCCCACAATGCAGTGCAGTTTCATTGGCAGCTGTGTACAAAAATAACAGTTTGATGTTCTTAACTATATTATAACTACAAAGTGTTATACTATAATAGTTGTTATATAATGTACATTTACTTGATTATTTAATTTGCAATACATTTGAGGACATTTCAGACACTGATGAAAAGAGTAGCACTACAGGAAACTAGAAATCTTCCTTTACATGTAACGGTCCTGAATTCAGTTTACATAGAGTAATAGGTACTTTCAAAAAGGAACAGTATGTATCAAAAGTAAAAGAAACCATTATGCAGTACAGCCTATTTATATATTTTTCAATATTTCAGATACAGTTTAAGTCATATATATATATATATAAAAATTTATATACATACAGTTGCAAGAAAAAGTATGTGAACTTTGGAATTTCCTAGTTTTCTGCATAAATTGGCCATAAAATGTGTTCTGATCTTCATCTAAGTCACAACAATAGACAAACACAGTCTGCTTAAACTAATACCACAGAAACAATTATATGTTTTCATGTTTTTGTTGAACACAACATGTAAACATTCACAGTGCAGGGTGGAAAAACCCTGGAACCCTTGGATTTAATAATTGGTTGACCCTCCTTTGGCAGCAAATGGTCAGGAGGAATTTTGGACCATTCCTCTTTACAAAACCTTTTCAGTTCAGCAATATTCTGTGGATGTCTGGTGTGAATCGCTCTGTTGAGGTCATGCCACAGCATCTCTATCGGGTTGAGGTCAGGACTCTGACTGGGCCACTCCAGAAGGCGTATTTTCTTTTGTTAAAGCCGTTCTGTTGTTGATTTACTTCTGTGCTTTGGGTCGTTGTCCTGTTGCGTCACCCATCTTCTGTTGAGCTTCAGTTGGTGGACAGATGGCCTTAAATTTTCCTGCAAAATGTCTTCATAAACTTGGGAATTCATTTTTCCGTCGATGATAGCAATCTGTCCAGGCCCTGATGCAGCAAAGCAGCCCCAAACCATGATGCCCCCTCCACCATACATCACAGTTGGGATGAGGTTTTGATGTTGGTGTGCTGTGCCTTTTTTTTTTCCACACATAGTGTTTGTGTGTTCCTTCCAAACAGCTCAACTTTGGTTTCATCCATCCACAGGATGTTTTGCCAGTAGTGCTGTGGAACATCCAGGTGCTCTTTTGCAAACTTCAAACATGCAGCAATGTTTTTCTAGACAGCAGTGGCTTTCTCCGTGGTGTCCTCCCATGAACTCCATCCTTGTTTACTGTTTTACGTATCGTAGATTCGTCAACAGAGATGTTAGCATGTGCCAGAGATTTGTGTAAGTCTTTAGCTGACACTCTAGGATTCTTCTTCACCTCATTGAGCATTCTGCGCTGTGCTCTTGCAGTCATCTTTACAGGACAACCACTTCTAGGGAGAGGAGCAACAGTGCTGAACTTTCTCCATTTATAGACAATCTGTCTTACCGTGGACTGCTGAACATCAAGGCTTTTAGAGATTCTTCTGTAAGCCTTTCCAGCTGTATGCAAGTCAACAATTCTTAATCGTAGATCTTCTGAGAGCTCTTTTGTGCGAGTCATGGTTCACATCAGGCAATGCTTCTTGAGAATAGCAAACTCAAGACTGAAATGTGTTTTTTATAGGGCACGGCAGCTTTAACAACACCTCCAATCTCGTCTCATTGATTGGACTGCAGGTTGGCTGACTCCTGACTCCAATTAGCTCTGTGAGAAGTCATTAGCCTAGGGGTTCACATACTTTTTCCACCCTGCACTGTGAATGTTTACATGTTGTGTTTAACAAAAACATGAAAACATATAATTGTTTGTGTGGTATTAGTTTAAGCAGACTGTGTTTGTCTATTGTTGAGACTTAGATGAAGATCAGAACACATTTTATGGCCAACAAAACTAGGAAATTCCAAAGGGTTCACATACTTTTTCTTGCAACTGTGTGTGTGTGTGTGTGTGTGTGTGTGTGTGTGTGTGTGTGTGTGTGTGTGTGTATATATATATATATATATTGTTCTGAGCCATGAAAAGAAACAAAGGTTTTATCCTTGTTGTTTAGTATGAAATCAAGTTCTTCTATTCATGGAGTCATTCTTTTGACAGTGAGTTGTTGACACATATCAGGTCAGTAAATGTAAAAAATAATTTTCATGAAGACAAACGAAGGTGAGAAAGAATGAAATGAATGAAAAATAATAAAAACGAAATTTTAATCATTTGAGTTTGCCATCATTTTATGAATAAATTTGAATGAATAAAGAAGTTGCACAAAATTTAACAAAATCAAAATAAATTATATTAGAAGTAATGGAATACCTTTTGTTTTTATATGTGTTCATAGAAAGTTAAAGCCTACGTCTGTTGCTCATACATTTCCTGATAATCAGAAGAATTATAAAAAAAAATAGAGCCAACAAAGGTGACTTCAAATGATAACTGAAGAATGTTCTGGAGTCCGTCAGACTTTAAATGACTCTGTCAAAATGGACATGAGCGTATATGAACATTCAGCTGAAAGCTGTGTGAGCGATGTCAGATCTCTCGCAGTGATTCCACATTACTCGGTCTTATTAAGACATTGTCCAGTCCCAAATAGAAACGGGCGGAGAGACGCACACACACACACATTCAAAACTTTGAGGTCATTTCAAGGTCACTAAAATGCAATGACGCTATTAACCCACTCCACACGTCTGTAACCAAAGAAAACAAGGGGAAAGCAATGCATGCAAACACTCCTTCAAACACACAAGCACACAAGCACTCACACTCACTCACACACAGACACACACAAACACACACACACACACACCTGTCTGCAGTGTTATGATGCATGTGTGGTCGTGCGTGTATCCACAGTGTATCCACAGAGACTTGGCAGCCCGGAACATTCTCCTGTCAGAGAACAACATTGTGAAGATCTGTGACTTCGGCCTTGCGAGAGACATCTACAAAGACCCCGACTACGTCAGGAAAGGAAATGTACGCAATCCACACATTCACTCTAATCCTCCAGCTGAATCATCCAGCCATATTTACTGTGGGGAGATATCAAATTCCTTTTTGTTGTTTTTTCACCGCCCACATAATGTTTCACCTTTACAGCACGTGTGGTTTCTGATTCTGTCACTATCTTGTAATATTCGTCTGATGTTTTAATGTTCCCTTAGGCTCGTCTTCCTCTGAAGTGGATGGCTCCAGAGAGCATCTTTGACAAAGTCTACACCAGCCAGAGTGACGTCTGGTCTTTTGGAGTTCTTCTCTGGGAAATCTTTTCACTCGGTAAAAAGAATCAATAAAGTCATTACACACACACACACACACACACATCTTTTTACGAGGAGTCATGTGCATAGAAATCAAAGGAATAGAGTTTCAATAAAACCTCCTGCAGAGCAGTGGGGTATCGATCGATTTCTCTTCCTTCAAAAAGCTTTTCATAGAGAGAGTAAATACTCACCACTGGTATCCAAACGAACAGCAAGTAAACCTGACGTGTCGCTGAATGTCTCCTTCTTTTGTACTCCCTCAGGTGCATCTCCGTACCCGGGAGTACAGATTGATGAAGACTTTTGCAAACGATTGAAGGATGGCGTCAGGATGAGAGCACCAGAGACCGCCTCACCTGAAATGTGAGCAAAGGCCTTTGATTGATTTTTGTGTGTGTGTTAATTTAACATCTAAAGAAGCTGATCCTGTGCTGCCAAAAAACTTCTGTAGGTAAGTGTCACGATTTAATGTTACCAAACTCAAGAGAAAGGTCTTCGGTAACCATACATATCCTCATTTTAATTCAGTTTCAATCTAAGAGAGGACTTCAAAGTAATTTGACGAAGTTAAAGAGCAGTCTTCTTTGTTGTGATGTTGCTGCCCTCTGCTGGTAGATACGGCATCATGCTGGCCTGCTGGCACGGCGAGCCCAAAGAGCGCCCGCCGTTCCCGTCTCTGGTTCAGATCCTTGGAGACCTTCTACAGGACAACAGCCTGCCTGTGAGTTCACTCGTCTGACCTGTTACTAGTTTGTTCAGAGTTTTCAGGGATTCATTTTTATTTATTTTTTTTACAAATTCTCTTCAGGATGGAAAGGACTACGTTCTGAACTCCTCACAGAGCTCAGAGGATGACGGGTTCTCACAGGTCTCTTCACGACCTCCTTCTGAGGAGGAGCTGAGACTGGCCTGCAACACTCTGCCCTCCAGGTACTCCTGCATGATGTCTCCTTTTAAGAACACATTATTGAAAACTATCCTTAGAAATCATCACAGTCAACAATACATTTTCCACATATCTTATCTTCACTGGATTTTGTTTTTAATCCCTCTGGCATTTGTTTGTCACCTGTCTAAATCTGATTATCTTTCTCCTCTCCTGTAGCAGGTATTATAACTGCGTGCCCTTTGCCAGCTGTGTGTTTGTGGGACCCTCTAAAGTCTGCCAGCCCAGAGTGAAGACATTTGAGGAGTTGCCCCTGGAGATGCACCAACAGAAAGCTCCTCAAGTAAGCTCCTTATCCGCACATCAGATGCCGAAAATGTGAACCGACAGGTGACATTTTGCAGATGGCATTTGACTTTAACAATTTTCTCATCAGATAATTAGACCTAAATAGTTGCTGCTGACAGAGACAGACAAAGCAGCGCGCTCAGTCGAAGGCGTTTTATTCACATGATGTCTCTCCGTGTCTCTTCACAGGACAACCAGACGGACAGCGGCATGGTGCTGGCCTCCGAAGAATTTGAGAGAATTGAACACAAGCACAGGGGAGCGTCCTCAAAAAGGTTAAGGATACAAAGCTGTGATCTATGTAACTGAGTGAAAGTAAAAGGTGACACACACAAGAGACATTTCAAATAGGCTGACAGTTATTTAATGTCAGTGTTTGACATTTGGATGGCTTATTACTGCCAACACGATGACTCTCAGGATAAAGATATATATTTTCAAAGCCTGGTGGTTTTATGGATTTACCATACGTTCAGGAGTTTGTAAGAGTAAACAGGCATTATGTATGGCTCAAAACCAGTAGAAAATAGTCCCTTAAAGCCTTTTGTGTAGTGAAACTGCAGTACATCTGTGAAGGAAGTAAGCATCAGCTGAGTCTGGATGTAAGCATGAATACATATGAGTGGGATACAATCTGAGTCATTTAAACCGAGGACAAGTACTTTAGTAAATACTTAAAACTACATCTTAAAAACACATAACAAAAAAGGTTATTCCTACAAGTAAAGAATAAGCTGCCTTTATACATCAGCTCACTGCTTCTGGATGACTAATCATCACATGAATCCTCTGAGACTGTCAAGCCAATCAGAGACTACCAGAGCTGTAAACAACTTCTGCTGCTTCTTTTTTCATATGTATATATTTGACTATTTAACCTGATTGTTTTTTAAAGTTGGTTTTAACAATTTCCATTTTTAACACGTCATGGGAAATCAATAATTAGCCAGCAGCAACATAAATAGAGGTACAAACGGGGATATTATTAAACAAGACTGGGTCAAAACAAAAACTATACAAATATGAAAAAAAACTAAGGTAGTCAGAGTATAGTTCATTAAGAAAATGAGGAAGCTCATTATCACATTAGACAAAAAAAAGCATGGCAAAGAACAGCAGAGTAAAGGACAGCAAGCTTTATACATACTTTGAAATTGATATCAAAAGTCTGTCTGCATGAAAATGCATTATAACAGTTTACAATCAATCAATCTTTGTTTGTATAGCACCAATTCATAAGAAATGTTCTGTGGCTGCTTCAGACCTGACTTTACAGTACATACTTATTCGCAGGAGAAATTCTTTATTGTTTTTTTTTCTTTCAGGAAATGTGTTGACAATAGAAATATGGTTATTCTTTAATGTAATGGGATTCATTATATGCATATTCTTTACTATATTTCCTATAATCTAGTAACCATAGTAACTATACTCTTATTGAAGATAAAATAAACCGTATTTTATGAAATTCATGCTTACTAACCATGTTAATCCAATATAAATACACTTCTACATACTTTTACAACTACTTCTAATATAGTTTACTGCACCGTAGTTTTCAATATTTAGCATCAACTCTGACAGCTCTTTCTTTTCCTTCTCCTCTCAGTCGTATCGGCAGCAGCAGCAGCACAGAGCCTCTCACAGCCTCTCAGGCTCACAGCAGTGATGTCATCAGCTCCCGACACCGTCCGCACTTCTTCAGCCAGCTCTCAGGACAAACTTTCTACAACAACGAGTATGGACATCTGTCCGAGGAGGGCTTCTGCGACTTCTTCTCCTCGCCTGACGCCCCCTGCCTGGCCTCCTCCAATGTGTAATCTCACCAAAGACGCAGCCCAGAAGAGAGGAGAGGGTTAAAAAGAAAAGTGTACTGTGCAGGTCAGGGGGTGGGGGTAAGCAAATGTTTGGCATCCTCTTAGTATTGATATATAACTAATCATTTATTATTAAAGATCAGCTTATGACCAGAGCTGACCTCTTCTAATTTCTCAATCGGTCCTCTCTCCTCTGGGCTGCTGCCTCTACAAACAGACTGAACTACAAGTGCCTGAAGTTCCTCAAATAAGCCACTGGGTGGCAGCATTATGATAGTATTTTCTACTCACATTCATTTATATTTTTATCTTTCATATACAGAGTATTTTTCCTTCATTTGTACAAATTATAATTCATATGGGAAGAAATAAAGACATGTATCTTCTTTGTCCTCTTAATTAAGATTCTGAAGTCAAATTAGTCTTCAGTTCATGTTTCAGAGGAAACGTTCCACACTGTAATAAATAACCCGGGCAGCAATGTTTGTGATGATTTCAGTAAAAAAGTGATCAATGCAATGAGCAGATATTTGTGTCTCTGTGTCAGACAGTGGAGGTGGACACACTGAGACATGACACTGTAAAAAAGGCGCAAGTGACGGAGGTAAACAGAATGATGTAGGGTGAAGAAAAGAGTGAGTCACACTAAGCACCTCTTATCAGAGCTGGACGTCAGCATGATGACAGCTGTGACAGTCTAACAGCCTCTTACAGGCTCGCATCACAAATGACAACCTGCAGAGTGTTGACTTGGGCTGCCAGCTGAGGGAAATGAAGAGTGACTGGGTGCAAAGTCCACTTTGCGAACACACAATCACAGGCCCTAGAGTTAAGTTAATGATATAAAATCAGAGGTGCAAAGGATCCATTTTCATTTTCTCTGAGTAATTATCGAAGGCACTGAGAAAATAGGACTGAGGAAGAAGTTTCAAGTAGATAAAAAGGTTCATACTCACACATTTGAGCTGAAATAAGTTTTTAAACCAGGCGCTCACTTCTTCTTCCCTACTGTATAAAAGTTTGACTCTACAACTCGTGTACTTTAAGATTTTAATATGAAATACACCACTCTTTTGCACCTTTCAAGCCAAACATTTCAAGTCTTGCCTTTTGAAACCTCTATTTAGTAAGCGAGTACTCCCTTTGACGTCTGTAAACAAAATAGCTTCTTAAACAAAAAGAATGTATTTTTAAAAAGTTACTCCAACAGTTGAAATCAAGGGCAGCTGGTTTGAAGAATCCTGAAGACATGCAGCATGAAGCAGTGATTTCTATGGTACCTTTACTTGAAGAGCACATAACATAACAGAACAATTTGAGACATAACTAAAAAAATGAAAGACCTTTTATAGTAGAAAGACCAAAACTGAAGGCCTGTCAGTATCCCTGTCCTTCATCAGGGAGGTCTCTGACACGAGAGAAAGAAGGAAGAACAAAATGACTAAAGAGGACAAACATCTTGACCTACAGTTTCCCTCCTTACAGACCAAATCTTTACAATGTACGGTATGTGTTCATGGAAACAGCTACAATAAACAAAAACAATCACTGTGGTAAAATGATTGTAACTCTGTTGTAGAAAAAAAAAAAAGACATTTGAACAAATGGAAATAAAATCAGAACAATAGTCTCAAAGAAATGTTTGGTAAAAATGCACTGAAAGATAGAAAATGATTACTGTAGTGAAAGACACCACTAAAAGTGATACTGTAGGATGTAACACGCATGAAAGAACATGTGGAAACACTGGTGTTAGTGGCACTGAAACAAAGAAATGAGAGTTAATCTGATTCCTATATGGTGGAACAGTTAACCCCTAAAGGCACAAGGTTTGAATACTACAGAGACCAGGGCTGGCCTGAGGAAATGACAAAACAAAACTTGTGTGTTTTTTTTAGACAAAGGGAATTACACAAACACTTTACAGTTCAGTCCAGTCTGTGACACAGGTTTATATCCTGGAATACTTCCTTTAAAGAATCATTCCACTTCCCATGATGGGGAGGGGGGGGGGGATTTAACACAGTTAAGCCTGATATACTGAAATAACAATGGACCCCTTTTCTAAATTATAAAAAATATTAAGTTAGGACTTTTCGTCTGTAAATCATAGAGGCATAAATTGAACAATTCCCTATGATTTGAAATATAGAAAACAGTTTTTGGTCATATGTTGGCACAAACATTAGTGTTTTTCTTAACTTCATTCTTAAAAGTGCAGCCATCAAATACCCACACTGTTTCAACCCTGACACACACACACACACACACACACACACACACACACACAGTACTTAAGACTTCATCCCCGCAGTAACAAAAGAGCTCTCCCCTTCTCTCCTCTCCTGACTGACAGAGCCTGAGAGGACTTTCAGTAACTGAGATGCAGACGTGTAGCCTGGTAGTTAGATCGCCTGCCTGAGCCGCTCCATTGGTCACGGTGATACGATCTCCAAAAGGAAATTGGTTCTGAGCAGGGATTGGATTTAGCTAACAGGCTAGCAACACTTCACTTATAAATAAAGATGAGAGGAGGGGCTTGGGAGCAGTCCTCATGACATTTTTCCAATCTGGATCTTCTTCCAGGCCTCTGAAGCCGTGAATATACAGGAGTCGATGATTCCTGCGACTGTGAACGCCCCACCGACGATGGCACAGATCTAAAGAGAACATTTCAATCTGTTAGACTCACTATCGAAAAGCTTGGATGTAGTCTCCTCTGGTTATTAAAATGCTCAATATCAGCTGCTTTTAATAACATGTAATCATAACAATAGATCACACTGACACCTCAGAATGTGCTGGAATCCAGCAAAGAGCGCTGCTGTAGCTTGACTCAGAATCTTAAGCAATGAGTCATAATCACACTCTGAGCTTTGTCATTTCCTACCCATGCCTGAGGCCACGTTAAACCTAAACAACACTAAAGACAAATAATAGTGTAGCTCTTCATTCAGGCAGCCAATTTAACCCTGACCTCATTATCAGTCAGCAGGAAACATTCCTGATGCGGTGTTACACACTGAGCAAAACTTCCTCAAACTACAAGGTCAGGGGGGATCTGAGGCATCAAAAGGTAGAAACTTTTTTTTTTTTTTTTTTTTTTTACATTTAAACAAGCGGCAACCTCCACTGTTGAAATATGATGCTGATGCAAAAGTGTGAAATCCTGCAGTTTGTCCGGCCTGTTTTTACAGCAGAAATGAACATGTTTATAACTTGGTTCTAAAAACAGAATTTGTCTGATTAGCTTGTGCCTCGATCGGCACAAACTGGGTGGATTCTTTTCAATAACTCATCCGTTTTGTAAAGGATAAAAGAGAGCCATGGACTGGAAATAAAAATGGACAAAGCCTGACTGATGTCATCCATTGGTTACTGAAGGGGGCATTAAAAGTCTGTTGATGGCAGTCACCATGCTGGAAATGCTGCTCAACCTAACTCTCTGTAAACCTAGCGACAGGCTAAGAGCTGGAGGTGAGGCAGGGTTTAAACCTGCTGACAAACAACTACACTGTGCCAACCTGTCAATCAGGTCAGTCATGTGCCTTATTATCAATACCTCATTAATAAAATCAGTGAGTTCTCAAGAAATTCCCCCTCCCCTCTACAGTGTTTACGAATTAAGACATGAGCTATTCAGATACATTTGGTAATTTAACCAGTCTGTACTCATGTTTATTTCTTTTAAAACAGGCTTTTTTGAATGTGTGTGGTTTTGACTTCCAGGGCGTTTGCAAGGAGCCTCAAGTGGACACTTGATGAACTGCAGGTTTTTGAACTTACGCATCAGATTCATTTTTTTTTAACAGTGCAGGTTTCCGCTCAGTTTAAAGCCCATAAAGAGAATTCCCTTACCGTTGTGATGAAGCGGTAGATTGGCTGTCTCCTCTCTGTGTACTTGACTGTGATTGGACTGAGGTCATATCTGAACCAGATGGCCGGGATGATTCTGCCCGTGTGGCTATAAGCGATGTACTCCTGTGGGGGACAGAAATAAAGAGTGAGCTACACATTTTAATGTCTCTAAAGGTTTTGGGTCTTCACTTGGCAAGAACATTTAATTTAATCAAGACTTTGACAGTTTCATCTCATTTTGTTTACTTATCATCTTAAAACAATCTGTAATGTAATCCTTGTTTCCAGTGGTGTTAATGAGTCATCACAAAAATGATTGTGGATAAAGTTACTCAAAAGTCATAAATGACTCATTAAAACTAAATCTTGGCTCAATAAAACGGATTTTCTAAACATGAGGGGGCTAAAATGTGTTGTGAATTATGATGACATGGATATCAGGGAGTTTACATAAATAATATCTCTTCAAAGATCCATCCTAATTCAACCCTTCTAAGTGCTAATTTGATGTTGTTGTTTTCAAACTTAAAAGGGTGTTGCTGTAGTCCAAGCGGTTCTGCAGGCCTCAGCTGGTCCTTTATTTCTGCTTTGGCATGAGACTTCCTATCATCTTGCAAAGGCCCTCATCCTCCTCGGTTCACAGCTGACCTGCACTGTTATTACCCAAACCCAGCTGTCAGTCAACACAATTCTAGGAAGTATTTTATGGTTTGTTGACATCTGGGGAGCGTTTCCAGTCACCAGGGGTGAGCTTTGACTTCCAGGTGAGTGCACACGTTATCACAATACATGCTCTGGCCATATGTTGGGATGGTCACACTTCTTCCATGACAAGGGCCAAAACAACATGACTCAGAGGCATGATCTAACAGGAAAGATAAAAAATGAGGGAGAACAGCACCTTGCTGGCTACTGTGTACTGGTAGGAGAACCTCTGTCTGCCTGATAGGTCTTCATACACTGTTGGGACTATCTTCAGTATGTAGTCGTGTGAAGACAGCGCTGCAAGACATAAAAACGTTATATTAGCACAAAAAAAAAAGAGTCCAAAAAAGGATGTATTTCTGTCAGTGACGCAACAGGCTGAAAGGTTTTTCCATTTGAGCAGAGTATCCGCTGTGTGAAGAAAGTTTCCACTTAGTTTGGGTTCAATATGTCCACTAGGTGTCTCATTTCATTGCATCATTCACGGCCAGAGCAAGCTTACATAAATGTGACATGATGTGGTTATGATGAGCACATGTGCAGGGAGAATACTTACGATTGGACGACAGCCTGTCTGCCCCTCCTAAAGCATTAAAGGCTCCTTTAACGTTTTGTACCTGCGTAACAAACAGAAGAAATCTGTGTTTAGACTAAATTCTGCAGATGTTTGACCGGATCTTTTCTTTTTGGTCTGTGAATCCTCACTGTCAGCTTTTCTCCAAAGGCCAGCTTGTGGATGATATGGGTCATGTCAGGGTTAGGAGGCTGCGATGTAGCACCGTGTGTCGACACGTGGAAGTTTCCTGGTACCTGAAAACACACACACACACACAAACAAGATCAGTGATTTTTTTGAGGCACCACACAAGCACCTGCAGCACATATAATTAACTAATGACAACACACACACACACACAC